ACTTGATAAATATTATTTTACATTGTAAGTGCTGCATCGACCCTTGTTAAAAACAAAAGAGGGAAATATTTTTGTAAGGAAAGCAGATTTTGATAGACTCGGTGCCTGTTCCCTTTAAAGGACAACAAGTTGCCTGTGACAAGCACTTGGGAGATGCTTTCTTCTAATAAAGTCCATCTGCTTTCTCCTTCTGTGACCCACTGTCTAATGAGCTACTTTAGTTGGCCTGTCCTAGGGTTCACTCACAGCTTTCCCTAAATAATCTCAAAGTCGTTTTGCTGGAGCAAGTGGTATTTTCTAGGCAGCTCTCACCAAACAGCAGCATACTAATTAGGCTTCAGGTCTGGAGGCATCAAGGTCTCATTTCTGGCAAAGGATTTATGTGCCACGTGAGATAATGATGTTGAAATTTGCTCTCTTAGAAGATTTTGTCCTCATAGCAGAAGAACTCAGCACACTCAAATATTTATTTCTCATTCTCTGAGAACAACTCTTAAGGGCTTAGGGATCTCCTTGCAGTAAAATGAAGATCTGTTTTTTGGAAAACTGTAAAGCTGGGTTTTCAGGGGGTGTACTCTTTCATCTCATATATTTCATTTGTAACTAAAGGAAGTTACATGCTGCAATCAATCCTCCTCATCTGGGGGTCCCACATCCACAAATTCAAGCATGGATGGAAAATATTTGGAAAAAAATTTCCAGAAAGTTCCAACAAGAAAAACTTGAATCACATGAGGGTAACCACTTACATTACATTGTATTAACAAGTATTGACACAGAATTACATTGTATTAGGTATTATAGTTAATCTAGAGGAGATAAATTATGTGGAAGGATGTTCATAGCTTATGCAAATACTGTCCCATTTTATATAAGGGACCTGAGCATCCATGGATTTTGTTATCTCCTGGGGTCCTAGAACCAATCCCCTGAGTATACTGAAGGATGACTATCTATTCCAGAAAAGGTGGATCTGTAATTCAGCCCGCCATTTAGTATGAAAACTGACTTCTAAATTTGCACAGTGTTAGTGACTAGAAAAGGGATATCATTCTATACCAGGAAATACAGAGTGGGGTTCTGATGTCCTCCAGGGTTAGTGCTACTTGCAGAAGGGGAGATGTTAACTTTGGACTCTAACATCTAGATGTTTTAAATGAGCGTCCAAATGTCCAGAAATATACATAGAGCTTCCTGCTGTGCTTTGCTCATGATGCCTCTCTCTGATGTGTCTCATTTGATATTTTAGGAATTCATGATGATTGTCACCTTTGGTTTGGAGTTCATCATTCCCCTCTGATCAGCTGGCTGCTGCTGCGGGCACAGAGGATGGCAAGGAAGACTGAGATTTGCCCCAAAACCCTTCTGTGTTAAGGTGAGTATCAACGTCCGAAGTTGGATTTTTGACACACATCTTTTTTTCCTTCCGTCTCCTGTATTGCCACATCTAATGAATATCCAGAGCTAACCTCCAGACACTCTTGTGTTTTATTTCTTTAACTTTTTTATTGAGTTATAGTCATTTTACAATGTTGTGTCAATTTCCAGTGTAGAGCACAATTTTTCAGTTATAGACGAACATACATATATTCATTGTCACATTATTTTTCTCTGTGAGGGCACTCTTGTGTTTTGAAAGTGCTGACTCATTTACTCTTCATCACAACACTGAAAGGTAGGAATTTTTATTATTCCTGTTTTATAGATGAAGAAACTGGGGACAGAGGAGGGAAGCAAGTTGCTAAATGTCACTCCAGCAGTAAATGGTGGAGCTGGGATTGGAGCCAGGTGGTCTCACTCTAGAACACCCACTTCGGTCGAATTAAGTTGTACTGGAATAAGTGGCTCTCAACTGTTGCCCTGAATTTGGGGAGCACTGAATTCAGTAAATATAAAACCCCTTCCTGCTGTATAGTGTAAACAATATTCTTTTATTTTCTCGGTCAGCTGAATGTGTAGCCATGTATTAGTCTTGGTAAATCATGTTGATTAGCATGCTACAAGAATACTTACAAGTTGGAAGGGTACAGCTCAGTGTTAGAGCACACGCATAGCATGCGTGAGATCCTGCGTTCAAACCAAAATACCTCCATTAAAGAGGAAAAAATAAGAAAAAACTCTTAAAAAATAAATATAAAAATATATCATAAAATTGAAAACCCTAGTCAATTACACCTCAGTTTTTTTTAATTAATCAATTTAATTTTCTTAAGTAAGTTGCCTACATCATGGCCCTTTCTCCCTAAATATTTCAGTGTGGATTTCCTAGAATAAGGATATTATTTTATACAATCGTCCATAAACTGGACACTAATACGATGCCTGTGCTCAGCCCCTGCTGGTGTTCTGGTTTTGCCAGTTGACCCAATAATGTCCTTGATAGCACTTCTTCGCCTCTAGTGTAGGGTCCAGTCTGCGGTTACCTGCTGCATTTAGTCCTCACTGTTCTTCAGTCTCCTCTCATCCCAAAAAGTTCCTCAGCCTTTCCTTCTCTTTTAAGACATCGGCATTTTTTAAAATTTGGCCTATTTTAAAAAGATAGAATGTTAGTCCTTTGGAAAAAAAGAAAAGAAAACCCTGCTGTCACTGTTGTTGGCAGTGTTGTCATTTACTGGCTCCGTTTGGGTTTCTTGCTCTTTTTTCTTTCCTTCTTCTTTGGCAGCCATTCAAATCCAAAGGCCAAAAGTCCTTGGCCAGGCTTCTTGTTTCAGCTATTTCCAGTCTGAGAAAGTGGGGGTTTTATTTACAAGCTAGTTCAGACTAGCTGCTTCATCAGCAGCAAGTTTTCCATTTGGTTTCGGAATTCAGGAATTGTTTTCTTTTTAATTTTTCATTATTATTCGGGGGGGCAGTAGGTAATTAAGTTTATTTTTTATTTATTCATTTCACTGCAGTCCTGGGGATTGAACCCAAGACACTCCGCCACAGAGCTATACCCTCCCTGCCCCAGGCATTGTTGAGTAATCTTTGTTTCCTCCTTTGCTCCTTTAATTCCTTAAGGAGGAAGTGGAGCTACCTCATCCTCAGGCACTGTGAAGAAGACTCCTTTGTTCCAGCCTTTATTCCAGGGCTGTGTGAGTGGAGCAGTGTCCTGGGTGTGGGGAGGCTGGTGGGCACCTCACACCTTCACCGGCACTCAGGTGATTTCATAGGGTGCACATTTCAAAAGAGTCACCATCCATTCAACCAAACATCATGGAAATGTGGCTGTGTGTGAGGTACTGGAATTACAACAATGAATCTGGTAAAACTGTAAGTTAAATCAATCTTAAAATACCTTGTGTGGCCTTCACCAAGCAACCTATTTGTTCTGTCCAGCTGTCTTTCTTCTGCTAGACCACTGCTCTACTTCTTTTTGGAAGCCCTTATAATAAGATGTCAAGGAAAGTGGGTAGAAACCACCAGCCTCCCTGGGGGTCCATCCAGCCCCAAGGCATATCCAGGGAAGGCACTTGATTTTCTTCCTCTGGAGATTTTCTTCCTCTTTTTGAATTCTCTGCTCAAGCAACACCATGAAGCACCGTAACCTGATGTGAAATTACTGCCCGACAGGTACTTCCTGTCCGATAAGGGGCCGGAACAGAACAATGCACAAGGCAGATGGTTTGGCCAAGATTCACTCAGCATCTCCAAACTACGGCCAGTTCACAGATGACGGCAGGAAGGTTCCATCCCAGACTTTGGTTTTAGTCCAATACCAGAGGTGATGCCAAGGTGTTTCTGGCCTCTGAGCTGAAAAGCAGGTTCTTTCCCAGATGCCTGCTGCCTTTCAACAGCTGTTTTCAGCACATCTCAGTCCTTTTGTCTTTCTTTTCCTGTCTCAGAGCCTCATGGGTCTTGGTAGAACACATGATTCTAAAGTCAACGTTATGTCATCTGTAACTCAGCCACCTTTGGACCTATCCATGGTGACCTTACAAGTTTAGTGTGGTATTGCTGAGCTGTTGTTGGAG